AAAACATGAGATCTATGGGGTTTTTACAGTTTTTTGAAAGTTTTCGCTGAAAATTTTACAAAAATATTCCATAGGAAACGAAGAATGGGTTGAGTTTGAGACAGCAACCGTAATTACAATTGATTATGTAGTACTCAATCACTTGAGCATTTCATAAGCTCAGTTGCAGACAAAACGATTGTACATACTCCGAAAAAACGAATAGTACTTTATTTTTCTTTAACTCTAAAGATACAGAGATTTTTCCTAAGCTACTATTTTGAAGCGACTCTTGAGTAACAGCTCTTGTGTTCCACAATCGATTTCTTGTTATTAATTTACATTTGATGACAGTAGTAATCCATTCAAAACAGAGAATGGCCATCACTCCATAACTCTAACTGACGATGTTGTTTACGCACCTTCAAAGCCTGTTTAAACATAAGACAGGAAGTTTGTTAAAGGAGTGCATATAATGCTGTTTCCTCAAAAAATAAATACTTCTGCTGAAGGACCCAAATGAGCTGGGATGCATCGAGAAACATGACGCAAATGTTTCTGTTGAGAACTTTTTACTGCATCCAGATGAACCCCTTATGTAAGTTGTACATCATGGAAGAATTATCAAGCAGAAACATACATTAAACAAGAATGTGGTTCAATACAGAGGAGAAGCTGGTCTCAGTCATCATCCTTCGTGAATGAAATGTCTCACAAATTAGCATATCAACAAATGTAGTATCCACAAAATGGTATCATTTAGGAATAAATGCGACTTTTTTGCAACAGAAGCCAGCATTTATTTTAAAGGTGTATTGATATCGTTTCATTTCGTGCTATTCTAGGGTTGGGGAGTTAGGCTAGATTTTCTTTAAAACGCCAAAATGTTATATTTATTTGCGTAATGAAATGTAAACAAACAGTGTACCATCAAAATAAGGTAGAAAAAATCAGAACTGAAACCGATTTCTGTAATTTGTTCCCTTTGTATAACTAAATGATAGAATATTCTTATTTTCAAAACACAATCTTACTGCCATCATTATATTGATTTAAATTTATAGTTGAAGTGCGTGTATTTTATTTCTCAACGAAGACGTGCCGGAGAAGAAATCTAAAATTACTGCAGAGGGCGATTTTTCACAGCCTTCATCAAAGCGTCATTCATTCGCGGAAGTATTCTTAGTTTCATTAATCATTAACTTAATCTGGGGAGAAAGGCAAGATTTCGAGATAAACAAGCCAGAGAAAGGGTGAAAAACAGTTTCACGGCAGAATGGACACTTAATTAACCACTGTATTCCTGAAACGATTAAGTTCGATTTTAGAGTTATACTACTGAGAACAATTAAGTATCTATAGTATCTATTGTTTAATGAAAAACTATCATACTGACCTTTTCCTCCTGCTCAAAAAATGTGCGCGAAATGTTAGGTGGTAAGAACATTCAGCCGCCATCTTGTCTTTGATGTACTGTTTTAAGAAAGGAAAAACTGTCCTCTCAAGGGCGACAGCGAAGCTACAATAAACTCACTTTCACCGTAGAAATACCTCGATACCTTAAAGAACATGTTTGTGGAATGTAGTACCCAATAAACGTCATACAGCTCCAGAAAACAGCCTGCAAATGCTGGTACTGAACGTAAACAATTCACAGAAAATGCCCCTGTGGCACTTCAACAGCCCATATTGACGCATGCCCATACAAAATGTCCTCCTGTTCATCTAGCAAGCTTTGGTTTAAAGAAAGACAACTAAGATTTACAGCATCTAATTTTGGAAACATAATTAAACCAAAAAAGGCAGATGTGTCAAAGGTTCTTAACCACCTATCTACCACTTGCAATTCTTTATCTCACTTGAAGGCCATTAGATTGTGCAAAGAAAATGAAGATGTGGCTTCTCAGCTCCACATATAATATCAAAATTTACATGGTTCTCCTGGAACTAACGGTTTTAACTGTGGACTTGTAATAAATCCACACTTTCCAAGGTTGGGAGCTTCTCCAGGCAGGCTGGTTTATGATCCCAATGCTAGGCCATCAACAGGTGGTTTGGAAGTGAAATGTATTGAATCTGCTCAAGGGATGACACCATTACAAATGAAGCAAACTCCAAAAGAAGTAAAAAAGAAATCTTTCTGCCTGAAAATGAAAGGGGACCATTTGCAACTGGATGAAAATCACAATTACTTTTACAGGGTTCAGGGTCAAGAAGGGGTATCGGGAATAGAATGGTTTGACTTTGCTTTGTTGACAGATCCTCATATTGGCTTAAATGGATTGTTTGTACAAAGAATTTACTTCAAAAAAAAAAAATCGGAGTCTGAGTGGCCGCCAAAGCTTACAGAGTTTTATTTCAACCACCTCCTGCCTGTTTACTCTTCACTACAGTGATTATTGTTTTTATATTTTCCAGTCCCTATAAATCTATAAATATACATGACTGTTTATTAATTATCTCCCTCCATCTGACGTGGACCCTGCCAAGCAAATGATGTCTGAGAAACCTCGGTGGGGGAGTGCTCTGTCACTGATACCTGGCCAGCACTGGTTCCCCATTCTGCTATTTGTCAGCCGGACATGGCAATGTGGAGCCTTTGCATAGGTCAGCCCTGGCAAGGCATGGGGAGCTTTAAAGCGTTGGGTTCAGGCTGTTAAGTTGCCAGTGAAGGAGGAGAGGCCAGGGACAAGAGAGATAGTTGCCATTTAACAGTTCCCTGGCTGCACTTTGCTAAATCAAGACAGATATATGTATTTGCTGTTTTCAAGACCCCATAGTACACATTGTTTACTCCCAAAAATTTAACATAAGAATTGTCCTTACTTCTCTTGGGACAACAATAATATTGGAAGTCCCAAGAGACAATAAAACAATGCCTATGTAAAAAGTTTGGGGGGTAAATAATATACACTTAATGACTACTCCCTACATCAAGGGATATACGGAGATTCAAGGGAAACAAAACTGACTGTTTCCCGAGAGAGCAGTCGTTAAGTGCTTTGATATATAGCATCAAGAAAATAAACCACATTCTATTTTTGAAAAAATCAAAGATTTTACTACCCGAATGCCAGTGAGAATACAGGCGTGCAAGAAATCTGAACCAGACAAAATTTTCAAAGGTTTGTATAATAAAAGTCATTAAAAAACCCAGCATGTTTACATACTCAATACACACCTATTTGTGATTCAAGTTTATCATAACATTTGCTCCTGAAAATGCTCCTGACAGTAATGTATCCCGTGCAGGCAACAAAATTGTTTAAATTGCCCATAACCTAAAAAATTTTATTTCCTCATCTGAAAGTACACATTTCAACAGGAACGTCTGTGAAAAAAATTTTGCAATTTGAACAAAACATGATTTTCTTAATGACTGTTTAAAGTCTTTGAAATTTGCCGCCATTTTGGTCCACCATTCACATTAGTCTCCTCTTGGCAAGATACAATCTGTGATGTAACTTCAGGAACTTGTATCAGTTCGGCCTGTCAATCTCTTCTTCCCAAGCCGAGATTTATTTAGATCGGCGAAAATGCCTGAGAGATGCGTTGCAGCGCGTTGTGGCAACGTAAAGGACCCAGATAGGAATATATCAATGCATAAAATTCCATTTTTCGGTGGTGTCCGATTAAAAAGAAGAAGTGAAAGTGGGTCAACTTCATGTTGGAGAGGAGGAAGAAGTAGGTGCCAGGGAAGACCTCCTCTTTGTGTTCCAAATACTTTGCTTCAGACGACTTTCAAAGGCCATTAAACACAGAAGGGAACTTAAAGCGAGATTTAGAAAATGATGAAATTGGGGTTTGTGCTTTCCCATCAATACACGCTAAACGGAAAGAAGACGACGAGCCGCCATCTATAAAGAGAAGGGAAGCGCGAATGGTAAGAAAGTATTCTCACACTTGCTCGAGACATTTCATGTGATTTTTCTTTCTGTGATTCACAATTGGTCCTCGTACCATCAAAGTTAAAGAAATCGCAATTGTTTTGCTGTTTTTCACAGATTGCTAGATCTGCGAAGGCTCACCTCAAAAAACTGCAAGAACCAGAAGTGACCAGTATTGTTTATCCTTCCACAAGCATTCAGGCGGTAAGAATTTCAACTGCAGGGTATACTTGGGTGTGCTTGTGTAACCTTTTGCGTTGTGTATTATTGAATATTTGCAGGCACAAACTGTACAAGCTGAAAACTCACAAGATATTCAGATCAACCCGTCTACAAGCAGTCAATTGGAGGAGGTAAGATGCTGTGTAATCTTTTATAGTTTGAGTGTAATGGATGGTCTTGACTAAAGCCTTGTCAATTGATAGCTTGTTATTGATATTCCTGATTAAGACATTACTAGAAGTAATAGTACGACTGAAATCCAAAGCAACGCTTACCAAAGAAAATCCTGTGATCAAAGTTTCACATCCTTTGGTAAACACTGTTGTGAATGATGCAAGATTAGTATAGCAGCAAAAAAGATGAGTGATTGATGTCTGATGTGAAACTTCAAAAAACTATTATCATTGATTTTCACAGGCCAAACATGAGACATGTATTGGTGGCTTTCAAGAGCAATCTGGATTGGAACCTGAAGCTACATGTGGCACCAACATGGTACATTCCTTACTGCAAACAAATATTCATTTGCAGTCATGTAACTTTCCATTTCATTATGCTACCAGATCATCATTAGTAAAAAGTGATGGAAGTGGCCAATTTTTTTTTGTAGATACACGAAGACTTTGTTACGTCCAAGATGCAGAAGAGAGTGAACCTTTAACACAAGTGGTATGTATCCTGTTTTGTAATTATAAACATAATAATAATGATAATAATAACAATAATAATTATAAGTGTTCATTTCTTATAATTTTGATTTTACAGGATGATATTCTTGGTATTTATTTTAAAAGATAAACCATGGTTTTTTTTTAATATATAATACAGGATAAATCAACACAGACACTGGCAGATCAGAGATGTAGTATCCACAGCCATGAAATGGAACTTCTAAAAGGGTCGATTGGGTAAATTTTGATCAAGGAAAACAAAGTTTCATGTGAGTTATCGAGGAGTTTGAGTTACCCAAGTTCAAGTTAGCGGGGTTGTACTGTATATTTATTACAAAAAGCACCGAATGGTTGAATAGAATTTCAAATGGAGAGAAGTTCACTATTAATCACAGTTACTAGAAATCAGTAGTGTTATTTTAATATGAAAAAAGTTTTTTTTTGTTTCAAAATGAAGTAAGGATCTGGTCTTCTAATCTTCATCTAACTGAAATCCTGTTAGTGGTTCATCCTGTATGTTGGGGAGTGCTTTCCGAATTGCAGTGTACGCACAGGCAGGAAGAGGGATCTTTCTTTTTCCCAAGTATCCATGAACAAGTCTGGTAAACTCCCTGTAAGCAATCGATCTGAGTTATCTAAAAAATACAATAACATAATACCCCAATACGAATATAATTTACAAAGAACCAGATCAAGAGTTCTAGAGTAGCAGGATCCCTTACTAATTCATGAGAGAGAAAGAAGACGAGTAATCTTCATTATTGGTGGTATTTTTCAGAAATTTCTTGTGTATAGGGGAATGTTGTCCTCAAACCATAAAAGGAACAAGTTGTTCTATTGGCAAATGTGAATATTTTCCAAACTTTGAAACTTGAACAATTGATATTCAACAAATTGAAAAATACTTCATAACTATACAATCAAGTTAAAATTATTTTTGAGAAATCACTTTCACCTTTCTTCGGATCCAGTCTTCTTGTAGTATTCTCTTGCTTTTGTTTGGTATTTCCCACCTGCCAACCGCAGACTCCATTTTTCTAAGCAGACTGGCCTGAAACCAGGATGTTCTGTTACACAGCATAACTCTTGGCCCTTCTCAAGATCTTCCAGAACAAGTTTACTTGACAGGGACTCGACACATCCTTCAAGTTCTTTACAACAATAACATTCGCTTATATTCGTAAGCAAATTGTGCTCACATTTTCCACAAGTACTCCTATGTTTGAACCAAAACGTTCGGAAAGTTACACAAAATGCTGATTATTTCCACAATGTAATTGACTTAGACATACAAACATTCACGGCAACAGCAAGTGCTTGTATGTAAGATCAACTCACCAGTCAGCAACACATGTTGTTATTAAGACGCTTCATCAGCTTTCTCCAGTTCTTTGTTTTCCGCCTGCTCTTGCCTGTAGTTTTTGAGCCATTCTTCGTCCGACCAAAGGCTCATCCGCGTATGGTTCGAGCAAATCATCTTCAAATTGATTGCTCGCTCCATCTTTTTTTTCTAGTTCGATTTTTTCGTCTTCACTGCCAAATTGAGCTTTCTGTTTCAGAAAGACTGCCTTGTATCGACGAAATTTTGGTGAAGATCTCAAAGTGTGCCTTTCATTTGTGTACGACCCGACAAGTGAGGTTCCTGAAGCTACATCACATGACATCACATATGAGCCAGTCAGCTGTCATGGTCAGCTGAACGGGTGCGTCACAGAAATGTAGACTGCAAACAATCGTAAAAAAAAACATGTTTTATTCAAACCAAAATTTTTTCGCAGAAATTCCTGTCTTAATGTGTACTTTCAGATTATTAAATAAAACTCTTTAGGTTATGGGCACTTTAATTGTTTCCATTTGAATTTAAGCTTTATCACATGACCTAAATGCAGCCAATCAAATAGCGTGTTCAAGTCAAATTAACACAAGCTATATAACAAGGTGTATGATGGGATCTTGAAAACAGCAAACATATCTATTTTATTCTTGTTTCAATTTTTGCTTTTCTTTGTTTTAAACAAATAAATGTTAATTTGCCATAAAAACTTTCTCTCCCACCTCAACGTTGGAATTTTAGTAATTTAGTGTCAATTTACTGTTTATCACCTTCCTAACATTTCCTGTTTCTAGCTTCTTTAGTTTCGATAAAAATTTTGTTGTCTTGTACCTGTGTTAAACAGCACGCCGGCTACTTGCAAGAGCAAGAATTACCACATTGTATTTTTGTTGAATAAAGAGTTTTTGTTGTTTTAGTGTGCTGTACCAGGAAATATCCATTACTGCTTGGACGGTTGTTCAACCACCCCCTCTGCCCCACCACCACCACTCCTTGCCTTTCCACCACTACTTGGCAACTCAAGTGTCACCTTGGAAAAGTGGGAAGGGCTAGTCTAGAAAATCAACTTTTTACAAAAAAACGAAAATATGGTCTCATAATGACCTCGCAACCCCTTCCTCCTTCCACTTTGGAATTTTCAAATATGGAACTTTAAACTTTTTTTGTGTAGGTAGACTATTACTTCTCACTCTTTATTTAAACTAAGGCTGTTTGCTCAGTGAAAAAAGGCACAGCCCAATAAACATTTTATTGCTGTAAAATTGGGCTTTGAAAATTAATCAAGTAAGAACAGACAGTGAATATTTGCTCAGCCAAATGAGCCATGCACGAGCGGACTTCATTGTCCAATATGTGAAATGTTTTAACTTGTTGAATTGCCCCTTCAACGTGAATTCTTGCTTCTGCGAGTTTTTCCGATCCTTGTTCTTCCATTTTGTTTAGTTAAGATCTTCCCTGCCCTTTGAATTCCTGGCTGGAACTGACCCTCATGCGGCTGTTGTGTACGTCACACAAGCAGGGGGTGGATGGACATCAGACAAACATATCACTGCCAATTCCCCAGTGGTGGCACACAAGAAGTGAAGAACTCACTAACAGCATCGCGCTGTCACCTTAAAGCATATCCAAGATGCGGCCAACCAACCTCCAAAGTGAGTATATTAAAGATTAAAGATGTTTCAGTAATAAGTATTTAACAACCTTTTCAACAAAGACTACAAAGACTCTTTTGCAGAAAACCTTCATGTTAATAAAATACCATAGCAAGAAATTTTTTCTTCTTTAGATTGTAACAATTGAATTTTCCTACTCAAACTAAGGCGAACTTTCTATCCTAAAAACAAACACTGACCTGTAATTCTGTTTATTGTTATTCACCCTTCTCAATGATAAGTTTTAAAAGAAAAAAATGTTCAAGTGAACAATTTTATCACACCTAAACCATCCGAACTAATTAGGCACCATAAGACTGCAAGCATAATTTTCCTATGCCTACTTTTGATTATTAGACAAATCTTGAGACATCTTCTTACAAGCAGTAAAAGACCACTCTTAAATAATTTACTTACATTTTATTAGTGGCAATGAAATTATCTGATTACTGCCAATATATCTACATCCTCCAGCTGAAGAAACTGACACTTAAATCAACTTAAACAACTAATTCCATTCTGTTGTTAAAAGATCCAACATAATTATGCAACACATGTTTAGTTAACCTTTTGAAAATAAAATATACATGTCTTCTTTTATCTTTCTCATTATCAATATGTTAACCATTATCATCATCATCAATTTTATTTTCTTCCTAGACACACTAAATTTACAATAGAAGCGTGTAAAAATTAAGGTCTGCCCGAAAATAACTCATATTGAATGCACTCTTTAATCTATGATTACCCCTAGTTTTAACAATGCGTGCTAACAAAGCCCACATAATGTGAAGTCAACACTTGGATGGCAGTTGATTGAAGCAAAAGTGAATTACAGTAGAAACCGGCGTATAAGAACCTAGATTTTTCCAAATTACCCTAAAAGATTCTCACAGAAGTTGTGTTAAGTGGGATTTAAGGTTACTTTGGGGCTAAAATAGGTTCTTAATTTGATAGGGGCATGAGCGATTAGCAGAGATAACTACTACAGGGCATATGTGATCAGTGTCCATAAATGCTGTGTTGCCGAAGACATGATCTTGTTTTTCTTTGAATCTTACTGACTGAAATCTAGACGAAATTTTTTTTTCTGTACTTTCATCTGTGCCTTCATTGCTGTAAAATAAGAACCTATTGAAAATTTTAGGCTAAATAGGTTCTTATGACAAGGGGCTTTAACATGACAATTTAAGCTTAGCAGATTCTTAAATTTTAGCTTCTTATACATAGGGTTTTACTGTGCTTTGTTGTTTATCTAAGGAACAACCTGGGCAGTGCAGGATCTATGGTTCCTATTTTGTAACCAGTTTGGTTCCCCCATGTATGACCAAGTACCACCATGTGTTTTTGTTCAGTTCGCTTAGGCGACCTGATAATTTTTTTTTATGAAACCGTAACATAGAATGACTGGATCCTGTTTGTGTAAAGTGACGAAACATGTCTCCAATATTACTCTGAACACCCACTTCTCATTTTCTGTCTTTTATTATTTTGTACCACAACTTTAAAGCATTCGCAACTGTATCTCTAAGAGTAAAAGAAGAGGGAAACCAAGATATTATAGGGTTTAATTCCAAGATGCCTATGAGTGTGCAGCCTACCAGTTCAAGGAGGGCTAGCAGAACAGCATTTTGACATGGACTTGGCGTCAAAGATGCGTAACAATTTGAGGGAAGATGCTCTGGACAGAGAAAGGCTGATTTTAATCCCGGTATGAGTTAAGTATATTTACACTTATTGAAAGAGGTTGAGTATAAAACGAGGAGTTGTATAGATTTTAACAGTACATGTTTTCTTCATTGGCGAATAATTCTTAACTGAAGCTCATCCAGGGCAGGAAACTTGGCCTGTTCGAACGTCCAAGACTGATAACTTTTCTATTCGTACAAGGAAAAAGATGATCCAAGTTGTCCTATTAGACCAGTAAGTTGCGGAGCTCTTTGGATAAATAATAAATCATTTTGTTTCGTATTTTATAACTAAGTTCTTGAAAATAAACTTTTTTTGTGTAAGTTGGGTGTTTGATTTCTTTGTGTGAAGCATCGCCATTGATTTCCACACAATCCCTCCTGTACAGCGTAATTGCATACACATTAATCACACGTGCTTGTCAGCAACAATCAGCGACCTGAATCGCTTGTTTCCTAGAGCAGTTAGGTATGGGCAATCTCTCAATCAAAATTGTTTAATTTTTTTCAAAGATCACAAGAGGCACGAAGAATAACAGTACTGGCGAGGATGTTTGTTCCAAAGAGA